ATATATATATATATAAATATTCATATATGCGTGCACGTGATGCATCTTGACACACATATGGATTTGCGAAACGAAAGGAAGATGCTAGATAATTAGAACGCTGCGGGATCGTTCCTTTATTTCGTTACCTTCCATTGTCAGTTTTCCTTGTAATTAAATCATTCGTATTCATTAAATCAATTACTCTGTTGCGATAAGTAGGAACTTAATAGCATATTTCCGTTATTTTTTAAGGTGTGTAAATTCAGCTTTGATCTTTTCAGAAGTAAGGATTAGCTTCATGTATCGGCGCGTAATAAAGAGAACGCGTTCGAACAAAAGGAACTTAGTTTGCATTACTTTACTGAGGAATTACGCAAGCGTGTAAAGAGACTCGTGCGTGAAATCAGCACTGCACGTAGGAAGACTTAGCACGACGGTTATGCAATTAAATTGTCGACAGTGGGTGCTAAATATGCAAATTCGTTCGCTGGTGACATTACGAAGCTGTAAATGTCTGTCGTTAAAGGATCGGCATCGCGATTAATTCGAGGCATCATGCAAACTAATCTAATCTATGAAACAAAAATCTATGAAACGCTGTCTGTGCAACTTGTTACTACGATGTGAAAAGACCAATTTCGATAAAATATAATTTTTCAATGGTTCCATGCTTAAATAAACAATATATCTATATAATAAGATATATTGTACACTTATTTGTCTTATATTGAGCAATATTTCTCAATCTCTATGATGTGTGCGCTCTCTCTCTCTCGCCGTTGATAATATAAAAGCTATGAATACTTTGGCATGCAAATAAGAGAGACTCTTCTCGACCTCTTGATTTGGTTTTGTTGTTTGGGGACCACAGTCAAGAGAAAGTGCGTGAATTTTTATGTTGTTTGTATATATTGGGTTAATAATTTTTGCGAGCAGCGAATAACGCCGAGTAATTTTTAAACGATATTACAGGCACGTGCTAAACAGCTGTTAACGAATAATTGTACTATTTCTACGAACGTTTGACGCATTGGGATATTTTAAATGTCAGCTATAACTTTGAAGTCTCTTTCTTTTTCGCGTACGTGGGATGTATCCCTGGCGCACGTAAAAGAATAATCTCTACAGGTCCAAGATGTTCTCTAGTCACATATAGACACTTTCACGGCGCCGGCAAACATGCTGTACCTGACCTGCAAGCTTCCATAAACTGAGAGTCTCGTGTGGGCGAGGTAGTATAATAAAGAAGAAATCCATGAAGCCGATGACTCGCAAACCGGAGTCGTTATTGACCTGGAATATCTATTTGGGTGGAGCTGATAATTAAGTTGATTCGTCGATTATTTAATGCAGCGAGTGATGTCATCGAAATAAAACTTTCATGCGGGATATACATATGTAATTGCAGTTCGCCTGTGTTTAGAAGCCCGTCGCTGTTTGACATTTAAATATATTAAAATCCAATTTGTTAATTTTAAATGTATTATTTAACTACCAAAGATGTACTATTAATTAAAAGTACAAATGCAATAAAATTGCTGTGGGAAATTAAGATTATGCCGATAATTATTATATAAATAAGTATTTTATAAATTATTATATAAATTATTATATAAATAAAGTAAAAAGTAATATTGAAAAATTAATGTATTTTGACATCAGAAAGTAGCTTCTTAAACTGGAAGTTGTGCGTGTTAATTTGTCTTGTTTTAACCGATGACACAGTCGCTACTGCCAACATTTGTATCATAATATCCCGCGTAGGTGTGTTTCACATAAACACACATTGTAATTTATATTACACATGTAGATGTACAGTGATGCAAAATTGAAGTATACAATCGCGTGGCTGAATTATGACCGAGAGCTACCGACTAGTCCGCAAGATTGCGACACGCAGATATGCTAAAGAGGCACCGACAAAAACTGACGTAACTATGTCAATCGCTCGCGGCTGAAAAATCGTCAGAGCCCAAGAACGATCGCGATGCCGCTTCGCGTTTCTATCAGACTTTGTCTGCGCTTTAAATTACAAACCAAATAAATTTGTACGAGACGTTCATTTTTACCTACAATAGTCTAACTACCTTCTGAAGAAGCAATTTCGTTATTGAGCCATTACGCACGAGAATATTTTTAAATGTTATCACGCTTGTTTGTTAGAAAATCTGTGTAAAAATTGAAACACATTCAGAAACGCTACATTACATTAAATTACACATTGTTTATTATAGAAGTATTTTTTTTAAATTAACTGATTTGTTTTACGTGAATAAATGATTATTACATTTTCATGAGCTGACGTCTAATCAGCGTTCTATCGACTTCTTTTAAGTTTCTGTATTATATTTTTCTGAATTATACTTTTTCGCTAACACATACTAGTATATATATATCCAAGTCCTAGATTTGTGAGACCTTGACCATGGTACTGCGGAAGTGAAACCGGATCTAAAAATATGCCTGCGCGATGGGGTGGCCGGCTTCCGTGACAAAATTAAAATAAGGGAACTCTCGCGGGCTGGTCTCGAGCCGCAGCCCGCAACCCGCGCCCCGCGCCCCGCGTTGCAGCTGCAGAGTTTATTATACATACATCCCGACGAGTACGGGGTACGGCCGAAGTAGTGGCGGCGGAGGGGACGGCTCGGAGACGATGCGATGCAAGATGGTTGAGAGGAAAGGAGGGCTACAGGTGCATCGCACTCGCACGCCCTCCTTTATTACGCGTTCCTTCGCTTCTTCTCTCCTCTCCCGTCCACCCCAGCCGTTCCCCTTCGCACTTTCCGCTTCTCTTCTTCCTCTTCATCCGACTTGGCGAACGCACGTCCTTCCTTCCCTTCTCCCTTTCGCCCTCCGGTCCTCCTAGTGAGCTTGGCCGCGTGTGCAGTCGTTAACATTTCACCGCGCCAGGTTGATCGCCGCGGCTCTAACTTATTGTGCGATTCGCTGCACACGCGCGAGTCTCGGCTCTCGACGGGAAAGAACGAGAAAGAAGCCCGCGGGGCTTCTTCCGAAGAACGAAGAACGCTTTTGCGTACGGGGATGCTATCTCGCGAAAATTGCGTTTACAGTTGGACGTCTGCCGGGGGAATTGCGAAGGAGAAGGGCGATAAACAGGAAATTGTTACCGCGGCTTCATCGCGAGCGACTCGACGATTTAGATTTCCGCGTCTTTGAATTCCGTTGGAAAAGTCCGGTCGCTATCAAGCACGTATTTTCTCACCATGTCGAGTCGAACGCGTCACGAATTCTGCGGATCGGCGAAACGCACTTGAGGCTTGGTGTAAGCTCGACGTAAGCTTCATCGCTATAACAGAGAGCCTGATCTCTCTCTCTCAGGCTCAACGATACGTAATACGAGTATTGAAAAAATAATCACAAATAATGACTTGCAAAACGTTAATAGCTTACCATTAATGAAGACATTTATTTTACATTTGTCACCGATAACTTTATCGATGCTATGTCATTACAGTTATTCTGCAGTGATTTGCATGTTTTTACTTATGTCCGTCGTGTCGAACCGTCTCCTACTTAAGATATCTAGTACGTTGAAGGACAAAGTCAATGCTTCTATGCATTACGCGGCCTACATGTTGGGGTTGATAGATCAACCGACTTCTCTGGTCGCACATTCGTGAATTAGCCACACGTTGGAGCGGCTGGCTCGTTCGTCGAACAGGTGTTCGACCGGTGTAGGTTTATCCGTTGTGACTGAAAAATGGTCGATGGTTTCTTGCGGTTTTACATTCACGCTTGATTTTCCGATGATTTCCTGCAACCATAGTGCTTCCCATGTGATTTATATGCCGTGAACATCGTGAGGAACGTTCGAGTGCCTCTCTCTCTCTCTCTCTCTTTCTCTTTCTCTCTTTATAGCTCTCTTCTTCTCTTGTCTCCGGTTGTGGCGCGATCATGAAAAATCGTTCCCAGGGTGCTGCAAAGTGGTGCCGTTTTTGCGAAACCACTTGTGAATTCGCGATGATGCAATTACCACTGGTGATTCCCGTATGAAGTCATCGTCGTCGTTGTGTTACGCGCGTGTTTAAAAATCTATATTTAAATTTCTTCCGCAACACGTTTCTCCGCGGAAGAATGATAAACATTGTTATGCGCATCCAGTCACCACTAAAAATCATGCATTAATAATAAATCGAAACCACGCGTTTAACTGTATATTGCGTGGGCAATATCTATAGAATATGACTAATTTTGGTGTGATTCAATCTTTTCACAGCAAAGATGAAACATCTTTGGCCGTTGCTGACGTGGATACTTCTATCTTCGTATCCGGTAAGAAAGCATTTCTTAAGAAATTTCAATTTTTTCGCGGGTAAAAAGAAAGTAATTAATTCTTGTTTCTCTCTCTCTCCCATTCGATCTACAATTGAAAGACCGTTAATTAAATTCAACGATACGCGTCTTTTGTAAAAAGAAAATTAAACTTAATTTCAACTTAAATTTGAATGTCAGAGAGCACAAAAATAGAATTGGAAATAGAAATAATAAATAAGATTGCTAGATAATTGAAATATATTGATAACATCCAACTGATAAAATCTATTTCGTGATTTTTCCAGGCCGAATCTCGTAAAGGACTCGGCCATGGATCGAAGCGAGAAGTATTCTTTCTGAACCTCGAGGACGGCTACTTTGGCTGTCAAGTAAACGAGTCGACGGACGTCCTTCAGTTACTCGAGCTTTCAAAGCTCTGTGACCATCGCGTCGACTGCTACCAAGGCGTGGACGAGCAGCGCAACAAGTTAAAGTGCACAGGTGAGTCTACCTGACAAAAGAAGACATGTCTTCTCGAAATAACTCGTCCGGAGATTACCAGGGTAACCCTCGCGGTGAAGCGATTGTGTATCTCACGGCGACAGGAAAGGGTGATGTCGCACGACATTCGCGATACACTGTCGTCAACGTTTCCGTTGTTTCTTCACGTCATGCCATCATCCTCGATGTCATTACAGTCTCTAAGTAATTTTCCTTCTCACATCGTACAATATATACAAACCGCAAGAACGTGTTAAGCATTACGTCTCGTCAGGGGTCACAATTAAGGGGAATCTCTTCTCGCGTCATTATTTCATATTGCACCGAGTCACGCCTACGAGTTGTAATTAGCGGCGGAATTTTATTCTCATTTTCCATGGACGTTATCTTCCCGGTGGGACCATAATTGACGTTGCCGAGCTGCCGATGAGCCGGTGGATCACGTTACTCGAATCTACCGAACGTATATCGTGGCTTCACAGCTTGTGAGAAAAACTTCGATGTTCGACCGACGATTAGGTCCGGCGAGAGAAAATTGCGCGATTAGCCGATGGTTATATAGTACAGTCGCAATTTATCCGCCCCTTTTTCTCGGATAATCTTACTTAATAGCCAACAAAAATGGCTCGTGCCTCTCGTACAGGATATTTCTAAACCAGTATATCCTTTAACGCTGTTTCTGACGGATGAAATCATTAATTATTTATATCTACGTAAATAATTTTTTATTTACACATTAAGAAAGATAAAAATACTTTGTATTTATTAATATTTTAATATGATTGATAACTTTAATTTGAAAAAGATATATGCAGATTATTTATAAACTTATACCGTAACATTAAATGTTAATTAAGAATCGAGCTACGCATATATTTTTTTAGTGAATAATGTTATTAATTTATTCGAATTTTTGCTAAAAATCTTACAGACGATTGTACAAAAGAAGACGGCACTAAATGTCAAAATGGTGTCTGTCTGGATTCGGTCTGTCACTGTAACGATGGATTCGGAGGATGTAACTGTCAAGTTCCAGGTTTGTGCAACTATTTATGTTGTTATATGATTATTTGGTATGAAATTTTCTTATCAAATATTCATTTAATAAGCACGTGTATTTTCAACTACATGCAAATCGTTTGGATTAATCCAATGCAAGTATATTACCTGGCATATATTTTTCTACCCTTTTCAATCTACAATATATGTAAGGAATAATTTACAATAATAAATTTTTAATAAAACTGAATTAAAATTAAACATTACAGATGAGAACGAGTGTAAATATCGACCCTGTGATATATTTGCCCACTGTACAAATACTCTTGGCAGTTTTCAATGTTCCTGCTTTCCCGGATACCAAGGCGATGGCTTTCATTGCGAGGGTAATTTTCCTGTTCTTCGAACGCCCGGCTGTGCATCCGCGTTTCCTTATTAACGAATATTGTATCTTTAGATATCAATGAATGTGACGATCCAGCGATTGCTAGGCGTTGCGTCGAGAATGCCGAGTGTTGTAATCTACCCTCGAACTTCTTGTGTCAGTGCAAATCTGGCTACATCGGCGATGGTGAGGTGCATTGCGAGGATGTGAACGAATGTACGATACCAGGTGCATGTGGCGACAATACTGTGTGCCACAACATACCTGGTAATTACACCTGCACGTGTCAAGATGGATTTACGGGAGACCCGTTCAACAGTGTGAGTACATCGCCGAGATCAGGGATGCGTAGTCAAGAAAACGATAAGTTGGAGATTAAAGTGGATAATAACATGCCTGCGAGTCAATTGCCTTATCGTGGCATTTTTTTTTCGAATATTTATACGACGATGAGGATATTAATCTTAATAATTATTATTTATTTAAAATGATGGGCTTCTGGAGGATACTAATCACGATATCAGTATATACTGACAAATTCCGATTTGAAATATTTATATTATAAATAATTCCGATAGTGAAGTAGGATAAACGACAATTTCAAAATTTAGATATTTATTCTGTCTATAAGTTACTTTAAAACAAGAGCATATCACAGTATGAAAGTGCATATCACAGTTAAAATTTTTATAAATTTTACATTTAAAAAATACGAATTTACTGAATAAAATATAAATGTTTTATAATATAAAATATACATTTATACATATATAATATATTAGAAAATGTTAATAAATTTCAAACAACGCGCAATTAGGAATATGAGTGTGTGTGTAACCATGAATTAATTTATTAAATTTATGGAATTGAAATTTATCTAGTGTATCGATATTGACGAATGCAAATACGAGGGTGCCTGCGGAAGAGGTGCGCTATGCGTGAATGTACCAGGCGCGCATAAGTGCGAATGTCCCGACGGATACGACGGAAGTCCTGAGGAGGAGTGCAGGGATGTCGACGAATGCTTGAGGAGTCCTTGCGGACGTTCCGCTCTCTGTACGAACGTACATGGTAGCTTCCGATGTTCTTGTCCCGATGGGATGGATGGTGATCCGATGACAGGCTGCCACGGTAAGGCTTAAGAATATTTACAATTAGCTTATTACGAGTGATAAGTGAAACATAGAATGCCTTATAACGTGGAAAAATCAAAATATGTTAAATGTTATATGTATATGTGTGTAATTAATCATCATGCTTTAGTAACATAACATTGTTCGTAATCATTGACATAACAGTTACATCTTAACAAAACGTTGACAAAGAGAGAGTTTATTTCGATTAAGAAATTCATTAGTGAAAACCAGATCCCAATATTGATAGCATTGTTGTGATCTATGTGTGACACATGACAACTGATAATCCGGTTGAACTCACAAATATCCACGGTCGCACGTCTAACAATGACTACTAACTGACCATCACCGGCAGATGTGAACGAGTGCGAGAAAAGTTCGCCCTGTGGTGCGGAGTCAGAATGTGTAAACACCGAGGGTAGCTACGAATGTAGATGCCATATCGGTTACCGGATGGATCCCACACACGGTTGCGTCGACGTGAACGAGTGCATCGGTGGAGACGCTTGTGCGGCCAACGCGAGGTGTATCAATGTCCCGGGCTCATACAAATGCATTTGTCCCCCGGGTTTCGTCGGTCAGGGACTAACCCGTTGCGAAAGTCAGTCATAGCTAAGCTCTCATGTAACATTCTTTGTCATACTGCATGCTATAATAATCATCCTGTGATTAATAATATTGATTAACAGACGTGAACGAATGCGAGCGCAACCCCTGTGGCGAAAACGCTGAGTGCATCGACACGGTCGGTAGCTTTGCTTGCAGCTGCAAGACGGATTACACCGGCGATCCTTTTAAGGAGTGCAGTGGTTAGCTTATCAATAATTTTCTCTTGCGATACATTTCCTTTGATGAATTGATCCCTTAAACCTATTCTACAATGTGCTTTTTGTTTCCTGTTTCTTGCTTTTTGTTATTTGTTACATCTTGTCTTTTTGCTTCTTATCCGGTTTTTTGTTTTACATCGCCCGAGATAAAAATTAACGAACTTCGAAAGAAATAAGAAATACGTAGCAAAAAATACAATTGTTGATAAAACGGTTGCAAAGGAGAAAAAAGCAAAAGGTAAAAAATAAGAAACAGGAAACGAAGAGCACATTGTAGAATAGGCTTTAATCACGAGTCTCGTGGTGTTAAGAGTGCTGCCAGGAATTAGAATGCACTGCTCTCACTGCGACTTTAATATATTCATATTTTCAATATATATATTTTTTCTTTTTAAACTTTAAATTTATTCTATATTTTCTTAATATTTATTCTATATTTTCTTAAGACAGAATTTTTAATTTTTGTGATACTCAAAACGCAGATTTGTTTCTTTAAATCTTTGACTTTGTGGAATTTTTTCTGTTATCTTGGCATTCTGCTTTTTCTTTCCTAGACATCAACGAATGCACAGCTTTGGAAAATCCTTGTGGGAAAAATGCGATTTGCAAGAACGAGGAGCCTGGTTACAACTGTCTTTGTCCACCAGGGTACAGTGCTAGGTCTAGCCCGACAGTCGCATGCGATCAGGTATAATAATTCAATAACCCGTTGCGTTTCGTCTCGAGTCATCTCATACATACATATGTAAACAAGATCTTCCACGCAAGAGATGTCCCAGAACAAATATTTCAAAAGGTAGCCTGCTCCTTTTGACCGGTCCGCGGTTTCTTTCTACGAAGGCGACGGATAAAAGAAAGCAAATGAAACGGAGGTGGCGTCGTGCACACAAAACAAGATAAACGCGAACCGGTTTTACATCAGTTTACCTCTTTTCCAAATCTATTTTCGTCGTTTGTAACGCCACAAAACTGACTCACAGTTCCATTTATTATGAATGCATGCTTTTTATTCGCGCGTCTAAAAGATAACCGTATATACGATGAACCGGTTCTCGTTTCCAACTACAATGTTTCCATACGTGACAAGAATTATGAGTGCGGAGTAATAAAGTGTCTCATCGTAACGTTTTTAGACCGACGTGACGACTCTTTGCAAATCGAATTTCGATTGCGTTAACAATGCCGAGTGCATCGAGGGACAATGTTTCTGCAAAGATGGCTTCAAAGCCATCGGTGCTGAATGCGTGGATCTAAACGAATGCCTTACTAGTCCCTGTGGGCCTGCGTCGATTTGCACGAACACTAGAGGAAGCTATCATTGTGAATGCGAATCTGGATTTGTTGGCACACCGCCCCATATACCGTGCAAAGGTAATCGTTGTAATTATACATTTTCAACGCTATCGTATACATACATATTATATCTTTGAAAGAGAAATATTAAGAAATAGTAAGAATGATTAGTTGAAAAACCGTATATATATATATATATATATATATATATAAAGAGAAGAGTAATTATTACGCTATTAAAAAGCTATAGTTTGTCATAATTTTTATTATTTTACAGCACCGTGCGATGAGGTAACTTGCGGTGAACATGCCTTCTGTAAGGCCGACGGTCACGAAGCTTACTGCATATGCGAAGATGGTTGGACCTTCAATCCAAATGACATAGCGGCTGGATGTGTCGGTAAGCAAACAGATATTTCTGAAATAAATCGAAATATTTTGTAATCATTATTCAACGTAGATAGGTATCATTTATGACAGTAAATTTTTTAACGCTGTTTTATTTACTTTACTTACAATTAGATATAAACGAATGCGATGCGATAAATGGACCTTCTGGAAGATGCGGCAGAAATGCCATTTGTACCAATACACCTGGTGGTTTTAGTTGTCAATGTAAACTCGGATACTCAGGAAATGCCTTCAAGCAATGTATAGGTAAAATTTGAGCGAGATAAATTATTCACTAATGATTATCTATAGTAATTTTGCAAATATTTATTATCTTTATATTTGCTATATATATATAAGAATTATTAATTTAATTATTTTGTCAGTTTTGTGTTTATATATTTTTTAAATAAATACACAGATATTGACGAATGTACCAAATCTAACGTTTGCGGTCATGGAGCAACGTGCACCAATATTGAAGGTTCTTACTCTTGCACTTGTCCGGAAGAAACCATACCAGATCCTGATCCTTACATTAAATGCGTTGGCATAGTGAGATGTGAAATTGACGATGATTGCCCAGGAAACGCTATTTGTGATCTGCAAAAAAGATGCTTGTGTCCTGAGCCCAACGTCGGGAATGATTGCAGACGTATGTAATATGTATTATTTAAAAATTAAATAAAACTATCTTTATATCGTTGGGGGAGGGGGGAGATTTATCCTTTGTGAATAAAATGTCAGTCCATAATCTCGTGTCTATCTAATCAGATCCATGTGAAGATTTATCTTGTGGACCCAATGCGCATTGCATGCTCTTGAACGACGTGGCGACATGTCTCTGCAGCAACGGATACACAGGAAAGCCCGGAATAAAGGATGGTTGTCGAGACATCAACGAGTGCGCGATAAATCCGTGCCCTCCGGGCGCAATTTGTAACAACGAGCCCGGTTCCTTCTCGTGTCAGTGTCCAAGCGGCATGACGGGCGATCCTTACAGCGGCGGTTGCCAGGAATCTAAAACACCTCACGTGTGTGGTCCCAGCGCGCCCTGCCCCGCTGGAGAACAATGCATCAAGGATGAATTCGTGGGTAGCAGTGTGTGCATCTGCCAACGAGGTTTCACGCGCGATCACGAGACTGGTAAATGCAGAGACATTAACGAATGTATGGAGCTCAGAGAGAAGCCTGCCTGTGGTGTCAACGCAATTTGTAAGAATCTTCCTGGCAGTTACGAGTGCCAATGTCCACCTGGATTCAATGGAAATCCTTTCTCACTTTGCGAAGGTAGGACTCTTGATATTTTAATAATTGTATTATTATCTATTAAAATGTGCGTCAGTATTGTTAAAAATTTTTATTATAAAAATTACAGAATGCAACAGCATCGAATGTCAATGTCAACCTCCGTACAAGATTGTCAATGGTAAATGCATGCTTGCCGGATGTTCGAAAGGCGAAAAGTGTCCAAGTGGTGCTGAGTGTATAACAATTGCCGGTGGTGTCAGTTATTGCGCCTGTCCTAAGGGATACACGACCAAGTCGGATGGTTCCTGTGAAGGTATGACTCCTGTGAAGTGATTATAGTTTAAAAGAAATTTTATTTTTGTTGTAAATTTAACTGACAGCAATTTGAAGCAAATATAATTATATTTGATACGATCGACTGAACAATTATTTCATATGTAGATATAAATGAATGCATCGTGGGTCACCAAGTCTGTGGCTACGGTGCCGAGTGTATCAACCTACCAGGTTCTCATCAATGCGTATGTCCGCACGGATACGGTGGCGATCCATACAATGGGCTTTGTTCTCCGGCACAGAAGAGATGTACCAACGATCACGAATGCAAAGCTAATGAGAAATGCGTGCAGCCTGGGGAATGTGTGTGCCCACCGCCGTTCTACACAGATCCCTTAGATGGAAATCTTTGTAAAAGTAAGCCTAGAAATTTCACATTATTAGAACAGCTCAGACGTAGTATAAATTTTCGTGATAATCGTAATGTCTTCTACGTCTAATTATTATTGAATTTTATTATTGCAGATCCTTGCGATCGTTTCCCGTGTGGTATTAATGCAAAATGCACACCGAGCGATCCACCGCGATGCATGTGCGAGGCTGGTTTCGAAGGTGATCCGCAGCACGGATGTATTGATGTAAACGAATGCGCGAACAATCCTTGTGGACACGGTGCATATTGCATCAACACGAAAGGAGATCACACGTGCGACTGTCCTAAAGGTATGGTTGGCGATCCTTACGGTGCTGGTTGCACTGGAGCTCCGACCGGCAAAAGCGAGTGTTCGTCAAATGACCATTGCGAGAACTATTTATCATGCGTCCAAGGAAGTTGCGTCAATCCCTGCGATAACGTACCTTGTGGTCCTAACGCATATTGCGAGCCGGATAAACACGCAGCATGGTGTAGATGCGTAATCGGATTCACGGAAGGCAAAAATAACGAATGCGTTTCACGTAAGTGCGAATTTTATAAATTTTTTATTATAAATCTGGATAGTTTTACATATTAAAATTATTATTTCTCATATATTTATTAAAAAAAATTTTTTTTAATTTTTACATGATTGTGTATCATGGGTGTTGCAGAATAAATGATTTATCTAAATTTAAAAAGAAATTTGATAATTATTTAAATTATTTAAATTTGATAATACAAGCATAGCTTAGTTTTCATATAATACTTTCAGTCAGTAAGTTATTAATTTATCGTCTAAATTTTTACTATAATTTTAGATAAAATAATACTTCGTTTTTCGATTTTAGAATGTGACGGTTTTGTTTGCGGCACTGGGGCTCAATGTATCGTTAGTTACGACGGGCCGACGTGTAAGTGTATCGAAGGTTTCATGGGCAATCCTTTCCCTGGTGGACAGTGCGTTCCGGATGTTTGCTCTCCTGAAATCCCGTGCGCTGAGCCGAGCGTATGCATCAGTGGACGTTGCAAACGGCGCTGCGAAGGGGTGATTTGCGGCATCGGAGCTATGTGCGATCCTTTAACGAATAAATGCGTGTGCAATCCCTATTTTGTCGGCAATCCCGATCTGCTTTGTATGCCACGTAAGTATTACAAACGTAATGCAACTATATATTATGTGAAAGGATATTTATTTTATTCTGTGAATGTACCTCTGCATATAAGGGAAAGTAATATTGAATCATATATTATCCTGGTTGACAAATTTAATTTTTCCGTAGCCATTCAACCACCTCACTGCGATCCATTCTGCGGGAAAAATGCACATTGCGAATACGGTCTTCAGGAATCAAAGTGTGTCTGCAATCCGGGTACCAGTGGGAATCCTTATCACGGTTGTGGTGTTCAAGAAAAGTCCGATTGTTCTACTGCGGTGTGCGGAAAAGACGCTCATTGTAACGCGGGTCCTAACGCTGTCGAGTGTCTTTGCCCATCTGGTTTCGCTGGCAATCCATACATTCAATGTTTTGGTCAGTTTTTATTAATTTCAGCTGACTCTTTCGCAGTACTTTTATAATCAAAATATAGAACTAATTGTAATAGAATATTTTTAAAAATATAATTAATTTTTTATACAACATATCATTTTTCACGATATCAAGTGTAAATAGTGATAAATAAGATATAAAAACCTATATGTAAATGTATATTTGTATTTTTTTATTAGATATCAATGAATGCAACGGAAACGCATGCGGAAGTAGTGCGGTGTGCATCAATACCCTTGGAAGTTATGACTGTCGCTGCAAGGATGGCTTTTTCGGCAATCCGTTCGTTGGATGTCAGCAGGTACAGGTGGGACCATGCGCTGATCCTTCTACTTGTGTTTGCAGTAACACTGTACCGTGCCCCTTCGATTACATCTGCGTCGATCATAAGTGCATAAATCAGTGCAGCGAAGTAAAATGTGGTCCCAGATCCGTTTGTCAGAATGGAGTGTGCGTATGTCCGCCTGGTTATAGCGGTAATCCCAATGATTTGCACAAAGGTTGCCACTTGCACGGTCACTGCTTGAACGATCTTGAATGCGAGCCGCAGGAGATCTGTTTCCAGGTCGGCAAAGGCGTCCGCAAGTGTGTGGATGCATGCAGCAAACTGCAATGCGGACCAAACGCATTATGCATCACGCAGAATCATGTGTCCTCTTGTTTGTGTATCGATGGTTACCAGGGTAATCCGAGCAATTTAATCGAAGGTTGCCAACCGTCCAAGTCCGTGATACCCGGATGTGCACATGACTCGGATTGCCCGGCAGGTTCCTTCTGCATTACTCTGGATGGCGGCGTGCGCGACTGTGTAAATCCTTGCAATAAAGTGGTATGCGGCGCCTATCAAAAATGCGAACCCGACTTGGTCGTACCTGGTCACGCCACTTGCAAGTGTCAGGACGGCTATGAATGGAATCCGGTGCAGTCGTCCTGCGAGAAGCCGTCGGTACCCGATTGTATAACCGATAATGACTGCCACTCGAGCGAGGGCTGCAGACCGGACGCGCTTGGCGTATTAAAGTGTGTGTCGCTTTGCGACGGTTTCACTTGTACCGCGAATTCTCGCTGCGTGACGGAGAATCATCATGGCCGTTGCGACTGTCTACCGGGCTACATCGGCAATCCGAATGATCGTCGGGGATGTCACAGCCCGCGCGAAAACCGTTGTTCTACGGATAGTGAGTGCGCGGAGGATCAGACATGTCGTAGTACTCCAGACGGTCCGCTCGCTTGCCAACTGGTCTGCGACTTTATCACCTGCGGCCCCAATGCGCTTTGCGTCGTCAATAACCACGTGGCGAACTGCGAATGTCCGCCTGGACAATATGCCGGTGATCCGAATGACTCAACGTCTGGTTGTCGCGCGGTGCCCTGCGTCTACAACATCGACTGTCCACCGGTGCAACTCTGCAACCGACTTACACACACTTGTTACGACGCCTGCGACGAGAATGCATGCGGTGTAAACGCTGTCTGCATAGCGGAAGATCATAAAGCGATCTGCCAATGTCCGCCTGGGCTTCGCCCGAACCCAGTACCCGACGTCGAGTGCGTCGCCGTGGAGGCATGTCATCCGGACTCTTGCCATCCCACTGCGTTGTGTGTCGCTGGTCCAACGAACAACCCGGTGTGTCAATGCCCACCGAATCATGTCGGCGATCCTTATGTGAACGGTTGCCAGCCGGAAGGACACTGCTCTAGTCCCAAGGATTGTCCAGTGCATTCCGTCTGTCATGAGCATCGTTGCATTAATCCGTGCGAGAATGCGTGCGGTCCTAACGCATTCTGCGAGATCGTAAACGATCAGCCGAGCTGCAAGTGTATTCACAGGTTCGTGCCATCCTCCAGGGGTCCAGAACACGGTTGCGTGCGGGGTACTAATTACTGCACAGTTGACGCCCAATGCGAAGATAGCTACTGCATTGATGGACAATGCAGAGGTAATCTTGATTTAATAGATAAACAATTAATAATTACGATAACATCGTAAATATTTCACTATATTAAAAATATTCAAATTATAAAACAGAGAATTTCGGCTGTTTTAGCTGTATGTCGTTCAGTCGCTGATTGTTCAGACGGAGAGAAATGTATTAACAACAAGTGTATGGTATCATGCATTGCGCATTCTCAGTGTCTAGTAGATCATGCATGTGTAAGTGGAGGATGCATCCTCGGCTGCCGCAGTAATAAAAATTGCCCGACTATCGAATCGTGTATCAACAATAAATGTCAAGGTATGTCACGAGCCACCTTATAGCACAATTTTGATTCATATTTATTTCAAATAGATTTTTTGCACACATGTGTATACTAATTATTATACAGACATAAAATCTATTAAGGGGGGATTTACATCTCATGTGAATCGCTAAAAAATAGGTAACTTCTGGAAATTTTTTTTTGAAGAAATGATGTAATGAATCAATTAAAAAATATTATGTGTTTTAACGCATAATTTAAAAAGTAAAATAAATTTTTTAGTTAAAAAATAATAATATAATGGCTATAAATAGCTAGGTCTATATGTATAGCCTCATTGGCGTACATTGTAGTGCTTTTTCTTCTTATCTGAAATAAAAAATCAAAATTTTTGCTTATTTTTTATGAAATTACCTGAAATTCAATGAACCTGAAAAATAAGCGAAAAGTTGAAAATTGAATAAATGGCGGTGCTTAAAGAAAAGATTTTAGCTCGCAAAGTTTTTTTCTATTTATGTAATAACAATAGTTTAAATTATTTTTTTATTAATTTTTTAGGTTCATCGACAAATTATAACATTAAACAATATGTATGCTCAGAACAGACAACTCGATTGATCGTGTAATGATAGTTTTTGAGTAATTTTTTCCGCCAATTCCCAAAAATTGGTTTTGAGAAAAACGCATTTAAAGTTTTCGATGTCGAAAAGTAAAAAAGAAAGAAGCTTACAGCAGTTTTCCTTTAATCTGCTATTCCAGATCTATATATATATGTAGCAATCCTTCAGCTTCTTCATAGAATCCATTTAATTTGATTTGTTTTCTACGAATTATCCGAACTTCCTTCGCGCTGCTTAGACTCCTGTTTCGTCATCCGTTCGGCATATCAGTAAATAATTTACATTGCTGTTCAATTTTGTTTTTCAGTGTTATTCCATTATTTTCAAGATGATATAGTAACCTTTGTTAAAAATATGAGCCGCAATAAAAGATGGCTTTGATTAATTTTATAACCGTTATTTATAAAAGGCCCTGAGTTTCTTTGCGATTATAGCGGTTTGTAACAACAAGTTTGAAACCGAACATGCTCGATGCAAATTTCCTGCTTCTTCAAATTTTATAATTTTGCTTGTATTTTTTACAAATAAGTATTTCTGATAGGATACCAAAAATAGTTAAATATTCTATAATTCTGTAGCAATTATGAACGGGATTATAAACAAAATCTTGACTACTCGCAATATAGCTAATTTTTTCGCGGTTGCACTTTGTCCCGTACATTTTCCTTCCTTATTAATGAATTGATCTACATGAAATTCTCATTTTGAAGCCTTCGCTGCACGAGTATTTTACTTTTGTTCGGATAGAACATTTTGGCCTTAGATTCGTACAGATCGAAATTCGAAACAGGACTAGCTCTAGAAAAACCGTCGAACATCGTCCTTGTGAGTTGAATCGACACGATAAAGAACAGCAATAAATGCTGACTTATAGGTACACCCAAGTAGCACAGCAGCGACTTTGCAAAGCGCTACAAAAAAATGATTATATGCACTTTTTTAGTTTTTTGTTGACGCTTTCTAGACTCTGTGTGCTACTTGGGTGCTTGAAAAAACATTTGCCTTTTTTATTGCGATCGATCCGAATGAAGATCTCGACGCGTGCCGTTCGCTCACATATCTATGCGTAAGAAAGATCTGGGCTGTAGAATTCTTCGAAACGTCGAATTTCGTTCTGTAACTTTGAAAAGATATTTTCTATATTATTCTATCAATTTTTCTACATATGTTCTGTTATTGATTAAAGTAAAAATTTCGATTTTTTGTTTAACTAGCTACATGAGAGACTCTCCCCTTAACTTAAAGACATATGATTTGTTTCTCAATGTGTGAAATAATGTCGGCCGTAGTTCTTGAAAGAAAAAACAAGAAACTTACGTGTTTCTAGATCCTTGCAGTAGAAAAGACGTGTGTGGACCAAATGCGATCTGCAGTTGCACTAATCACGCGATCGCATGCACATGTCCTCTCGGTTTCCATGGTAATCCTACTCCAGAACAAGGTTGCGTTCGAGTACCAAACGCATGCCAAACTCCGCAAGATTGTCCCAGCCAGCATCTGTGCGTCTCGGGATTATGCCAGTGTCAATGCTCGGAACAGAACAATTGCGCGCAAGGCGAGCGCTGTAAGAATGGCATTTGCGTGAAGATATGTTACGGCGACAGTAATTGTCTGCCCGGTGAATTGTGTATCGATGGAGCGTGCGAGGCGGGCTGCACCTCGGATGTCGGCTGTAAACGCGACGAAGTGTGCATTAACAGCAAGTGCAGGTATTGCCTTTTTAATCCAAACTTACCTTATTGATTAATCACTTATACATTGCGTTCTTACTTTTTTACATATCTATTACTAATTATCCTAAAAGGTTTGTGACGCTTAATTTCTTTTCTTAGATGCAGCCACGGATTTATTGCCGGTCCCGAACATTGCCTGGACATCAACGAGTGTGATGATCAACCATGTCATCCAAGTGCTGAGTGCATTAATCTTCATGGATCTTACCGTTGCACGTGTCCTTCAGGTACCGCGGGTGATCCTATAGGATTGGGCTGTGTGCTGCCGCATCACTGCACCACGCACAAGGACTGCTCTGATACTCAAGCCTGCGTTCAACACAACTGTTCAGATCCATGCTCTTTTGTCGACTGCGGTTTAAATACTATTTGTTCCGTTCTGGATCATACTGCTGGTTGTCAATGCCAGCCTGGTTATATTGGCGATGCCTCAGGGTGCTTTAAAGTAGAGTGCCTTTCTAACAGTGACTGTCCAACAGATAAATATTGCAATCAAGAGACCAATAAATGTAGTAGTAAGTTACGATACGCTTGCATCAATGAATAACTACGTTCATTTTGATTAGTTTTATAAGAAAAGATAAAATTATATATAATTTTAGAAAAGAAAATGATTATAAGATTCTTAAAATTTTTCGTTTGATCATTCGTTTTGTCAGGTCCTTGCAATCAAGTAAACTGTGGATATGGTAATTGCCTAGCTGTCGATCACGTTAGCGTGTGTAAATGCTATTCTGGCTTTGTTCTTATCGGCGACATCTGCGCTGACGTTAACGAATGTTTGCAAAATCCTTGCCATTCCTCAGCTATGTGAGTGAAACTTATGATTACAAGTAATTATGCGAGAAGAAAAGTTTATAATTCATAGATCTTTCTAAATTCAATATTTAAAAAATGTATAGATGTCAAAATGCGGAGGGATCGTTCGCCTGTGTTTGTCCGCATGGTTTAGTAGGGGATCCATTCAAAACGGGTTGTAAACAACCTGGTGACTGTTTCACGGATTCGGATTGTCCAAATTCAGCCGCTTGTATTGATAACAGATGCACTAATCCATGCGACGCACCGGGCATTTGCGGTAGAAATGCAGAATGCCTCGCACGTGATCATGTTCCGATCTGTAGATGTCCTGGACAAACTACAGGAAATCCGGCAGTGAGTATTAAAAATTTGAGTTTCAAATTTTCTAAAATTTAACTATTTAACATTGATACAATATTTTGTATATTATAATCTATTATTATAATGGATATTCTAATATTTATATTTTTTTTAAATATTTGTATAGTCTTTTACTTTAATTTTATCTTATTTCTATTTATTTCTTATTTGTTTTAGACGGAATGTATTCATCTGGAGTGCAACTATCACAGTGACTGCAGTCCATCAGATGCATGCTTCGATCATAAGTGCGTTGATCCCTGCTCTCTTTCGAACGTTTGCGGACATGGTGCTGATTGTTCATCGCTTAATCATAGCGCGGTATGCACCTGTCAACCTGGCGGCACAGGTGATCCGAATCTTGGGTGCACTCCGCTTCAATATTGCAAAAGTGATTCACAGTGTGCAACCGGTTCAGTATGTAACGGAGGGATATGCACAGGTAAATTAATCATCGGACAATTACGAAGAAGTGTAGTTAATTTATAAATCACATACTTAAAAAATCTCTAAATTTCATGTGCAATTTGGTTGTTGCTATTTGCAGCGCTTTGTGGAAGTACAAGAGATTGCATCGGCGATCAACTCTGTATTAATGGTCTTTGTCAGCCTACCTGCAGAAGTAATTCTAGCTGTCCAGAATATCAATACTGCCATAACAATATATGTGTTCAAGAATTACGTTGTACGTCAGACAATGACTGCTCATACGACGAAAAATGTATTAAGAATAATATTGGACAGGTAATCCTATGTTTTATTAAAAATAAAATTTTAATTACGAGTAAAATTATTTTTTTATCGATTCTATCAGAGAACTATATATATATATATATGTATATAGGCCATTGTTTGTCAAGTCGGCCACCTATCGTCACTGTTCCAAAATTGTACTTGACGTAAAGCTATATTTATGCGAGGTAATTTTTTTAAGTCAAGTACAATTTTGAAACACTAGGTGGTCGATTTGACAAAGAATTCCCGATATATAAATTTTCCTTCCTATTCTTTTCAATCAAGGCGGAGTGTCGTAGAGCTTGCGATGTAATACTCTGTGGCCGTAACGCCGAATGCAAAGCTGATGATCATGCCGCAACGTGTTCCTGTAAGCATGGCTTCTTCGGAAACGCTAAAGACGACAAAATTGGTTGTCAACCTATTGAATGTGAAGTTAACGATGACTGTACACAGGAGAAGATCTGCGATTCTCACAGATGCAGAATCGCTTGTCTTGCACATAATCCCTGTGGCGTGAATGCTATTTGTACAACAGAGAAACATGTCCAGGTAATTATTTCGTTACACTAGAGTTTTGTTTGATAGTGTTCTTTTTATGATAATAATGTTTGTCATATAGGTTTGTACATGCCAACCTGGATATACAGGAGAATCCACTCGTGCTTGCAAACTGATAGATTACTGCGCGAATGCACCCTGTGCACCGGGCGCATTGTGCGAAAACACGCGAGGACATTTCAAGTGTCATTGTCAACCTGGTACAGTCGGAGATCCTTATAATAGCGGCTGTCAACCGCCGGTAGAATGTCTTCAGGACGTGGATTGTCCGTTAACTGCCAAATGTGTCAACATTAATAATGTACCAAAATGTTTTGGTATGTGTTTTAAACTTGCCAATTTGTTTTATAATATTATCTTAGTGATTGCATTTTATAATTTTATTACCTTCTTTATATGTCTAATACATGTCTTTATATGTCTAATGCTTATGCGTGTGTGGGATTTGAAACACGTATATTTGATTTATTATATATTATATTTAATCTCCTTATTCCAGATACTTGCGCACGTATTCGTTGTGGTCCAAATGCAGATTGTGTCGCGAGCAATCATGCCGCGAGTTGTGAGTGTCGTGCCGATTACGAAGGCGATCCTAATAATCTGAGCGTGGGATGTCGTCCAAGACCAGTAGTTTGCTCGTCACAAATCGATTGTTTGGTCAATACTTATTGTTATGAAGGCATTTGTCGGCGTGAGTAAATAATTGTTAAATTTTTATTTTCTTAATTTTCGTGATTATTAAAATCAACATTTCCGTATAAATAACTATCTGAGAAGCAATTCTTCTGTTACTGTATTTAATGATATCGTTAATAATATCGCAAATAATATCATTTCAGCATCTTGTCAATCGGATGAGGAATGCAACTTGTCCGATGTTTGCTTGAACGGGCAATGCTTAGATCCGTGCGATGTAAGAGGAACATGTGGTATAAATGCCGAATGCAAAGTGAGAAGTCATATTAAACAGTGCAGCTGTCCACCAGGTTTTACCGGCAACTCCGAAGTAGAATGCGTAAGACGTAAGTATATGAATGAGTCTGCAAAATTTGAACATCTTCGATATTTCTTTGAACATTTTATAAAACATCTATTATTATAGTACCAGTGTCATGTCTCGGAAGTGGAGATTGCAATGGAGGCAACACCTGTCGCGAGAACGTTTGTTTGCCGATCTGCACTGTGGACAACGATTGCGCATTGAACGAGAAATGCATACGCGGCAATTGCTTGTTGACTTGTCGGTTGGACAATGATTGCTTCTTGGGTCACGTCTGTCTGAACAACATGTGCTCGTTTGGTTGTCGTGCGGACGAAGACTGCAATGCGAATGAGGCTTGTTTAGGAAATAAATGCGTAAATCCATGTGAAGCTACGCCATGCGGACCAAACGCCAAGTGCACCGTTTTCAATCAGCGTGCTACATGCTCCTGTTCTACCGGTTTCATACCAAATCCAACTGCCAAAGTCGCGTGTCTGAGAACACCGGGCCCAATATGTCAGGCCAATCGGGATTGCGTTGTGGGTACAGCTTGCATCACTGGCGTTTGCACACCTGTTTGTTCATCCAGCGCGAACTGCTTGAGCAATGAGAGATGCGACAACTCTGGCATTTGCAAGTCACTTTGCAGACGGGATGAAGATTGTAGAAGCGGCGAGATTTGCGAGGGATTAGTATGTATTTCCGGTTGCCGAGCGGACATTGAATGCCAGGACAGTTACGAGTGTATAAACAATCAGTGTATTGGTAGGTAGCTACTGAGATATTTTTATATTTTTATTTTATTTGTAATTCTGTCAAAGGAATATCAGTTTCATTTGGAATTTATTTTTGCTTGTTTGTACTTTATTTTTCTTGTATAAATGTACATTTTTATTATTATTGTTATTAGCCTTTATTATTCTATTTAATTATTCTTTGCCTACAGATTCGTGCTCATTGACTAGCGCCTGCGGTGTAAATGCCAAATGTACAATCGTTAATCATCAAAAAATCTGCACTTGTCCATCGCCGTTGGTAGGAGATGCTCGTATTGGTTGCAAGCAGACGTTCCTTCCTTGCTCATCTGAACTTGAATGTTTACCAGGACAAACGTGTTACAGTAGATCGTGCTATTCCACATGCAGAAGGTTAGAAAACATAATTATGAACAAATCGTATAAAGTTATCCTTAGTATTTTGATACTAAGTGATTATATCTTTTCAGTGATGCGAATTGTTTGAGCGACGAACGTTGTGACGGTGGTATTTGCAAAGCGATATGCAACAGCGATGATCATTGCCTCGCAAATCAAATATGTCACAATCGCATGTGTGACATTGGATGTCGCAGTGATAACACGTGTCCGAGCGATGAGTCTTGTATCAATAATCAATGCAGAAGTAAGTATAGTTTCACGTATATGAGTAGACTTCATTTTATCATCCTTCTGTATGTAATAAAGATAGAATGAAATTTACAGTGCAATTGATACATTAGATTAGACTTGAAATGCAATCGAGTAATGCAATTACATTGTGATCTTCAGGTCCATGCGATGGTGGCAAAGCGTGCGGAGAGTGTGCCGGTTGTAGAGTAGTCAATCATGTAGCTCAATGCAGTTGTCCCGCAAATTATTATGGTAATGCGCTAATTAATTGTGCCAAGACCATGACTCCCTGCGACGGCTCGTGTGAGTGCGACGAAATTGGCTTTTGCACCACCAGCTGTCACCATCAGAACGATTGTTCTTGCGGCGAAGTCTGTCATAGCGGTAAATGTCGCATCAAGTGCGACATCAACAACGCGTGTCCAAAGGTAAATTTCAAGAAAATTTTGAGAAATTATCGTCTTTTGACTTAACGCATATTAAAATTATATGTTTTACTAATTACAGGGATATGTATGCGATGGAGGTTTATGCCTCATTGGCTGTCGCACCCACTCCGACTGTCCGTCGTCATTGTCATGCACAAATGGCCAGTGTGAGAATCCATGTTCCGCCCAGGGATCGCCTTGCGGAATAAATGCACTTTGCCGTGTTTCGAGCCATCGAGCAGTGTGCTTATGTCCAGAAGGCTATCAGGGTGAACCGAGTCAGGAGTGTTACCAACTGGAGTGTCATCACGATGACGATTGCGAGCTAAACAAACATTGCAGCGAATACGGTGTTTGCACAAATCCGTGCTTACAGCATGGCGTCTGTGGCTTCAATGCGCAATGTCGTGTGATCAACAGGAAGGCACAATGTTCTTGTCCACCAGGACACTTTGGCAATCCGAAGATCAACTGCAAGAAAGGCAAGTTCATTACATTTACAGTAATTATATTTGCGAAAATAACTTTTTTACTATGCGCGATTTTTTAATCACTCTTAGGTGGAGATGAATGCTTGCGAAGACCTTGCGGTATTAACGCTAAGTGCCGAGAAACTCTAAATGGTTTCGAGTGCACATGTGATCCGGGATGCCATGGTGACCCACATCAAGTGTGTCTCTGCGACGGTGATCTTTGCAAAGACACTCGTTGTGGCATCAATGCAGCCTGTCGAATTTATAAGAATCAGCCACAGTGCTATTGTCCACCGAATAATCCATCGGGCGATCCAATGCACGCATGTACGTACTATATTTCGTATTACTGGATCTGATAAGACATACATTAATGAAAGAAATAATAATATCAAAATAAATTGAGGAAATTGTTTTTACACGTATGTATCATTATTACAACAAATAAATAAATTTAAAAAAAATATATAAGGTATAATTATACAATATCTTAAAGATATATTTTAATATTATATCAAGATAATAAATATTTATAAGAATTTATTTTTGGTTGATATTATCACTAATGATTTGTTGATATAGGTAGCTCAGATAGAGATTTAGGAGACTGTCGAACGAATGGATGCGGGAAGAACGCAGAATGTATTAGAGATGGAGCTATATTCGTTTGCCGATGTCCACCAGGTACAAGCGGTTCGCCAGATATTGAATGCACAACAGGTAGGAAAATACAGCCTACTAACTTTTTAACCGAGCCGCGGTTGATTAATTTTATGTACAGCATTTGTGACTAGCGAGCAATACTGACAATCACAGGAACATGGTCCGTAGAATAACCATGTATTGTTTAGTAGGACTTGAGTAATACATAAACGTATTAATCGAGTGAAAACCTTAACATCGAGAGACAGATGTGATTGGAGCAGTATGTCGCCACGATATTGGATATATACATATTTTACCTATAAGCAAAGAGTACAACATTACCTGTACATATTATACAATATAGGATATACTGTACATAATTTTGAGATGAGAGAACACGTTCCACACATATCTCACACATAACTTCATATGTAGAATGTTTATTTCAGTATCCAATCTGTCTTGAGGATATAATTGAATAAACAAAAAGACACTCATTTGCCTTATAGTGCCACTTGAATACAAGGAGGTACACATTTACAGTCGACACCATATATCTATTTTAGGATTAATACAGATTGGGAACTGCGAAAGGGACATTCTCATATACCCATGCTTGATATTTGCTGATATTCACGGGTTGTTATTTCCTCTTATTCTGAAATCTGTGGGGGCTTGTGTTGTAAATATCGCTGCTTGCCATTGTAATTTCTCTGAGAAGATGTCTGATATTTTGAAAAAGTGTAAAGTCGTTACTCTATACCTCTTCACAGAGCCTACCCTACTTTCATCATAAATACAAAGCATGTGGTTTATGTTATTTGTGAGAAAGTTTCTTTTCACAGTTCTTATAAATGCTTTTTTCTTTGTTTTTCCTGTCCCATCACCCACGATCCACCGACTCTACACCGACTTGAACACCACTATCGTGACAATAGAGCGCGAATGCACCAGCGACTTAGAGTGTCCCAATGAAAAAGCCTGCATAAATCTACAATGTCTGGACCCGTGCGCGCTACGCGGTGCCTGTGGGATCAATGCCCTGTGCCGAGTGGTTCTGCACAAGCCGCGTTGCTCATGCCCGCAGTGTTATATCGGCATGCCCCACACGGCCTGCCATCCAGATTCCAAATGCGACACGCTCAATCCCAAACCTACGCCGAGCATCGGTTGTTCCTCTGACTACGACTGTCCGGAGAGTCTCTCCTGCCACTCGCAGACAGGCGAGTGCCGCGACCCGTGTTTGAGTTCTCGGTATACCTGCGAGGTCAACAAGAGATGTCAGGTGCGGAATCACAAACCTATGTGTGTTTGCAAATACGGCTTCGTAGTCAACGAAATCGGGGAATTGACCTGCGCTCCTGACACGCTTACCTGCTCGAGAGACTTCGATTGTCCCTCGAACACTGCGTGCGTCAATGGGAAATGTCAAAATCCCTGTAATGTAAGAAACAAAAGACCGTGTCCAGCCGATAAAACCTGCGATGTCCTGGACCACCGTCCCGTGTGCATTTGCACCAAAAACTGCAATCCCTCCCTCTCCATTTGCCTGCGAGACAGTGGCTGCTCTCCAGATTTGGCGTGCCGTAACTATCGCTGCGTGGACCCATGCAGAAACTCTACCTGTCCGGCTGATGCCCCCTGTTACGTGGAGGAGCACAAGCCTATCTGCAAGTTCTGTCCCCCCGGCTTTGTGCCAGATACTAAATACGGATGCATGAAAGGTAAACACAATTTCTCAGAACACTATCTGAATCTTGTCATTTCTCATAGCCGTTATCACGTCTTTACATTGCCTGGCCTTACACAAGACATACAATTGCTACTTTTCAGGTTTCCGATCGTACAAACAGCAGAATATAAAACTTGCTTACTTCTGATCAACTTGAGATTTTAATTGAATTTTTTATTAAATTTACAAGATCATATTTATCAAGTTGCAATTAGATGCACAAGTTTCTTTGTTCTGTTGTCTGGACGCATATTTTAGGTTCCAAGTTACAGATACAAGTTTCCCATACCTTAGACTCCTGCTCTACTTTGCCGATCTCCTTACTACTGAAGAATTCTTCCGTTACATCTGTCTCTGTAAAGACTTATATATTTCTTACATTCAGCTTACCTATTATATGCGAGCATGCTAACTCTTAATTTGTAGTAATTGAAATAAAAACTGTAAACTTATCTGTAGCTTAGCCTAATCAAAGTCGCTCCCCGATTAGCAGTTTTGCTACTTTATTAGATATTATATTTACATTATATTGTATCCGCAGCAGTTCTTCATCCCATGTCCAAGCCAGTTTGCGAGTCCGATGATGATTGCAGCGACGCAGAAGCCTGCGTCGAAAGCTCCTGCGTTAATCCCTGTATCAATGGGTGTCAACTGGCAGTTCAATGTCGAGTTGAAGCGCACAGGCCTATTTGTGATTGCGAGTTTAACGACAAACATTGTTCACCTGATGGTGCAACAACATTGCGTTCTATAGATTTAGATCACACTTTTGAGACAGTTCACACTACATTACAAACAACAACGGGCACTCCGCCATCCACATCTGTTTACACTCCGGAGATGTTAACCGTTGCATATACAGAAGAAAGTACGATTACTTTACCTGACGTTACCGGAAATTTATTGGAAAATATTACTATTGAAACGACAAGTGAATCCGATATGACAATTGTATCGACAGAAATTGTTACCGAGTCTCCTTCGACGACCATACCTTCGATATTAAGTACAACCGAAATTAATATTTTAAATGATTCTTTAATTTCGACGATAAACGTTGATGTTATAGAGAATGTAACATCTAGTCCTTTTACCACTTCAATATTTGAAACTACTAATTTTGAAATTGAAACTACTTCAACAGAATATACAACAGCACGTAGTATTACTTCTAAAAGTGAACAAACGACGCACAGTATTCCAACCATATATAGTACAGGAGAAACTTTTACAGGAAATGTATCTTCTACTGTAACTGAGACAACAAAGAGAGAATTTGAATTGGGTTATGAAGAAAACGTTACAAACGAAACAACTGGAACAACTGCCTTTCAAAATATCACTGCCACTTCTCCAGTTACATTCAGTCGTACCGAGATTACTGATATTACTATATCTAGCATGAATACTGAAATAACGACTTCTAAGCCATTGGAAGCAAGTAGCGTTACTGAAGTTCCTGAGAATATAACTACAGTTCCTACCGTAGAAGTTCCTAATGTAAGTGATGAAGAAACTTCCACATTAGCAACAACTATACAATCTTTTACTACTACTACGCAATATTCTACTATCACAGAATTAACAGTAAAGCCATTAAAAGAAAATACCTCTATGGAAAGTACTACTAGTTCAATGATTACTACAACATTTTTTACTCAAGCAAATCATACAATGTCATCTCCGAATATCTTAGAGTATACATCCACAGATATTGCCAAAGAAATCACACAAGAATGGAGCACTGTCAAAACTGATTCGCTTGATACAACTGAGCCATATATAAAAGATACTACTTCATTTTCTACAACAACTGAGTCTCCTACATTTATGACAAATATTATTGACAGCGGTTCTCACAATGCCACTCATATTTCTGCGACAGAACAATACACTACTTCAAAACAGTATACTACAACTGAGGAGCCTACAAGACAGATTTCTACTACAGAATATCGTACATTTACAGGAGATCATTCTATTACAGAACAGATCTTCACTACGAAGCAACAGAGTACGCTTGAATATTCTACAGAAGAATGTATTACAACAGAGCAATTTAGAACATCACAACAACCTACGGAACAGATCTCTGATGCTACAGACAATTATAGTATATCTGAATATTCTACAGAAGCGCATTCCACTACAGAGCATAAGACATCAGAACAAACAGAACAATATACTACATTTGAACAGTCTACAGAACAAATCTCCACTACAAAACAATACAGCACTCCTAAATACAGTACTACAAAAGAATATTCTACAACAGAACAGTTTACAACGTCACAACAATCTACAGAACAACATACTTCTTCAAATCAATATCCTTCAACTGAAGAACTTACGGATCAGATCTCTACTACAGAACATTATACCTCGAAATATTCTACAGAAGAATACTTCACTACAGAACAATTTAAGATACCAGAACAAACAGAACAATACACTACATTTGGACAATCTACAGAACAAATCTCCACTACAAAACAATATAGCACTCCTAAATATAGCACTACAAAAGAATATTCTACTACAGAACAGTTTACAACATCACAACCTATAGAACAACATACTTCTTCAAATCAATATCCTTCAACTAAAGAAATTACGGATCAGATCTTTACTACAGAACATTATAATACCTCAAAATATTCTACAGAAGAATACTTTACTACAGAACAATTTAAGATATCAGAACAAACAGAACAATACACTACATTTGGACAATCTACAGAACAAATTTCCACTACAAAACAATATAGCACTCCTGAATATAACACTACAAAAGAACATTTTACAACAGAACAGTTTACAACGTCACAACAACCTACAGAACAATATACTTCTCCAAATAAATATCCTTTAACTGAAGAAATTACGGATCAGATCTCTACTACAAAACATTATAATACCTCGAAATATTCTACAGAAGAATACTTCACTACAGAACAATTTAAAATATCAGAACAAACCGAACAATACGCTACATTTGGACAATCTACAGAACAAATCTCCACTACAAAACAATACAGCACTCCTGAATATAGCACTACAAAAGAATATTCTACAACAGAACAGTTCACAACGTCACAACAACCTACAGAACAACATACTTCTTCAAATCAATATTCTTCAACTGAAGAACTTACGGATCAGATCTCCACTACAAAACAATATAGCACTCCTGAATATAACACTACAAAAGAACATTTTACAACAGAACAGTTTACAACGTCACAACAACCTACAGAACAATATACTTCTTCAAATCATACTTCAACTGAAGAAATTACGGAACAGATTTCTACTACAGATCATTATAACACATTGAAATATTCAACAGAAGGTTATACCACTGTAGAACAGTTTATGACATCAGAACAAACAGAACAATACTCTACGTTTGCGCAATCTACAGGACAAATCTCTATTACAGAGCAATGTAGCACACCTAAATATTCTACAGAAGTATATTCTATAACAGAACAATTTAGAACATCACAAGAGTCAACAGAGCAATACACTACTTCGAAACAGTATACTTCAACTAAAGAATCTACAGAACAAATTTATACCACAGAAAAGTTTTTCACTACAATAGGATTTGAGACATCTGAGCAGCCTACCACATTTGAACAGTCTACTGCAAAACAGATCTCTACTACAGAACAGTACAGCACATTTGAATATCCATCTGAACAATTCATCACATCTACGCAATCAATACAATATAGTACAATTGAATACTCCACAGAAGAATATTCTACTACAGAGCTTGTTACATCTGAAAAATCTACAGAGCAATTTCTGACTACAGAATATTATACGACGTCTGAAATTACCCAGAATAAAACAGATATGTTTTGTGTCTTACATACAGATTGTACAGAATGCGAAACTTGCATCGATAGTTTTTGTCGGAATCCATGTAAAACTGATAATCCATGTCCAGAGAATGTTTTATGCGACGTTATAAATCATCGGCCTGTGTGCTTAGACTCAAGTACTGAGCAGAGTACGTCTAATTGTAGTATACTCCCAGGTAAAAATTTCTCTTGTCGGGAGTAATTTCATAAGTGTGGTGTCATTTTATGTTTACTGTCACCAATATTTTCTACAAGCTTCCTCCAGTGTATGAGGCCATATGATCGTATCCAGATGAAAATTGGGAGTAACCAATTCTGGAAATTGTAGACACTGCTTACCGAATTAGTCATTTCATGAAATGGCTCATCGGTGTAAATTCATGAATGAAAATGCGATCGATATCATAAGGGCAGCTCATAACGAACCTGTGTGTCCATGTGATGACCGAATCGAAAATAGTCAATAAGCAGTCAGACACTGTTTTCCCAAATGCAGACAAAGGACTGCTGCATTAGCGCTCTACGCATGTGTACATTAATGCTTATGCACGATTTTCTCTCTTACAGCTTCTTTGTATCTAACATGTGTATAATGAATTGCAATTTTAATCGTCTGCGTTTAGAGGAAATTATCTTTTATGCAAATTCATGATATATAGTAATATTGTGGCATGTCTTTTGCAAAGTTTATGAAGTTTTTGCGTAAAATTAGGATTATTGAGTTATTATAAAATAAATTAGAACTTCTGTGTGTATGCGTGCGTGTGAAAGATGATTTCGCTTGATGTAGACGATTTCGATCAATGTCTTTTGTTAGCTGCTATACTTATTGTACACATATGTAACACAAATATCACTATATGTTTTAAAGGAAAGAGTACATCGTCCTTGTATATTTATATTTATATATATTGCACTGACACACCCATGTGATAGATTCAAGTAATTGTGCATTTTTTATAACTGCTGTTTTTGATATAACATACAAAAATGGCAGTTTAAACTGAGGTCAAATAGATTTTCTATTGGGACATGTACATTAACATTTCACGACTTTCTCATCATTCGTAACATTAATTCCTGCACCTAATGTACATTTGTTTCGTTAGACGTGAAATGTACAACGCACAACGACTGTCCCATCCAATTGGCTTGTGTAAATCATCAATGCGTAAATCCGTGCACTTTGGGCAATCCGTGCGACTTCGTCGAAGCTTGCCATGTTCAATATCATAGACCGGTTTGCGTTAAAGGTATATTTGTAATTGAATTGAACAATATTTCGCACATCCGCAATAACAAAATTTATATTATTTTATACGATTTTTTAGTGGAGTCCAACGAAGCAGAGTGTCCTTATTGTCCACCCGGTATGCAATGCGATCCATCGACAAACACTTGCATCAAAGGTTCGTACTGTCGCCAGCACTATACTTGGTTTCATCTGATTTTATTTTCAGTTTTTTATAGCCGTCGAGAGATTTGTAAATATGTATGTACTGTACATATTTCACGTACATATTTTGCAAATTATGCATAAGATCCTCTTTATACAAAGCACGAAATATTCAGTTTTATTACTGTCGTGCATGATCACAAAGAATGATCTCTTTGAGATATTTCTTATATTTTTTCTGAATATATCTTTCTTATCTCGGAGAATGTTTTTCTCTTGATCGAAAATTTACATACTTTTTCGCACATAAAGATCAAGAAAATCACACATTGCTACGCAAAGAAAATTTCCTTTATCTCAATTCTTATACTTGTGCACTACACTTTCTGGGGCTACATGGGCTTTCCCACTCTTTCTTTAGCGGGTTGCACTAGCAACAAGGATTGTCCTCTGACAGAAGCGTGCATTGGGCACGCTTGCCAGGAACCCTGCCTAGTTCGAAATCCCTGTGCGGAACATGCTGTTTGTATTAATACAAATCACGGAGCAGATTGTAGTTGTGAAGAAGGCTATCATGGAAATGGATTCTCTTATTGCGATTTGTGTAAGTTTTACAATGAGATATCAGATAATGCAGATAAATAAAGTATGAGAAATTATATAATAGAAATTATTGATAGGTATTACTTTCTCAAATATTCAGAACAGTTGATGCAAAAATCTAATGCAAATTATTAACACAAATGAGAGTTACAAATATTGTTAACGACATTTAGTTAAAAATTCATGTATAAATATGTGCAAAAATAAATTAGCATATTCTATGATTTCAGTGGAAGAACCGAAAAATATTTGTCAATATAACGAAGACTGTCCTCCGAACAAATATTGCGATCGACTCAACAGACAGTGCATCAATCCTTGCGTCGAATTTGATTGCGGAGATAATGCGAAATGCGTCTCTAGTAATCATCAAGCGCAGTGTACATGCCTTCCAGGTTATCAAGGAAATCCTCACATTGGCTGTCAGGAGATAGTGCTGACTGTCGATCCTTGCGTTCCAAATCCGTGCGGTTTGAACGCTTTATGCGAGAATGACAATGGAAATCCCGTTTGTTTCTGTCCAAAAGGTCTAACTGGAAGTCCATTCGAGCAGTGTAGTATGTATACATTTTTCATGAAGTATAATTATGACATTTATTTTGTTGTTTTAAATTATAAATGTAGATTCAAATATAACAAAGAGAGAGAGAGAGAGAGAAAAGAAAATTAATCCTTTAACGAATCAATTTTGTAATGTATTTAGTTCCCGAAGGTGACCAATGTGAAGGTAATCCTTGCGGTGCCAATTCAGGATGTCGAGTAGTGAGTGGACAGGTGAAATGCTTTTGCGTACCAGGATATGAAGGTCATCCACCGAATTTCCCCTGTACACTTCCTAGTACCTCCTGCGATCCTTCTCCATGCGGTCCCAATACTCGTTGCTCCGTGTTGGATAATGGCTTTGCAAAATGTACCTGTCTATCTGGCTACATTGAAAGTCCCAATACTATTAGAGGATGCGTGCCAAAAGCCGATCAATGCGAATTTAATCCGTGTGGTTTTGGGGCGAGATGCAATAGCACGAGAGTACCGCCTTGTTACTGTCCAGATCTCACAATTGGAAATCCATACAAGAGTTGTGGAGGTAATTGTAATCAATAATTTAATAATATAAAATGAAAAGAACTCATTACCAAATATTAAAACTCAAAATTATATATATCTTAAAACTTATAATAACTTTTTAACTAAACAAACTATTGAGTTTATTTGTTTAAGTTTATTACAATTTTATTAGGGTCGCTGGTTTAATTAAAACATTTTTTTATGTAAAAAAATTCTGTAAAATGCTTTTAATTACCTTGTTTGTAAATTGAGAATTCATAATATTAAATTAAAAAGTATTTGCGATATACAAACATATATAATAAACTTTCGCGATAAACATCTTAAATAACACATAACTATAAAACATTGAATAATTAACAATAAAATGTTCTATTAATTATATTATTGCAGTACGACCAGAAGAACCATACGATCCTTGTCTATTATCACCCTGTGGCAAAAACGCTATTTGCACGGCAATTGATGGCATAGCTAAATGCACATGTATACCGCCATTTGTCGGTAATCCGTATATAGATGGTTGCGAAGCCGAGTGCATTATTAATCGGGATTGCGAAAGTCACCTGGCTTGTTTCAATCAACACTGTAGAGATCCATGTCCAGGCGTATGCGGCGCTAATGCGCATTGCGAAGTCGTTGATCATCTTCCTATGTGTTCTTGTTTGCCAGGATATACTGGAGATCCGTTTAGAGCCTGTAAAGTAGAGAAACCTCGTATGTAGACATATTTCAATTTATATACTTTGCATGTTTTATCATACATTATATACAATATATTGTTACTTTGGATAACCAAACATTTCTTTTTAAATCTACTGTAATAAGCTGTTAATTTATATATAATATTTCATGTATACACATATATATGTAAATATGATATTTTAAAACTTTTATATTTGTCTTTTTCATAAAATATCTTATTTGAATCTAAAATATATGTACGATAAAAATTGAATGATATATTTATACTAACTATATAAGAACAATATTAATGTAATATGAAAAGTTTAATTCGATTTCATTTTTTGTAGTAGTGCCAGATCAGAATCCGTGTATGCCATCGCCATGTGGTCCACACAGTATCTGCCGTGTAATGAACGATCGTGCAGTTTGTTCATGTAGTCCGGGTTACCAAGGCACTCCGCCGCATTGCCGTCCGGAGTGTCTCGTCAGCACGGAATGTCCGGCTCATCTGGCTTGCATTGATCAAAAGTGTAATGATCCTTGCCCAGGATTGTGTGGTTTAAACGCTGATTGTCAAGTTATCAATCACAATCCAATTTGCAGTTGTCCTCGTCAATATGCTGGCGATCCATTCACACAATGCGTCAAAGAAGGTAATACATTGTGTTAGCGTATTGTAATAGTTTAATAATGAATTTTATTAAATAAAGAACGTGCCTTTCTTATTCTTGCTTATTCTTGTGTTGTTAATTATAGGAAGTAAGATACAATAGTAATTAAAATATTTAATTTTCCCAATTTTAAAACATATGACTCAGAGCTCATCTCTAAATGATTGAGAAAATGTAATTCATGTTGTAATAAGAAACGTAGTAAATCAAAGGCACTCGTTAAAATTTAATTTATATGAATTAAATAAATAATGTAAATTTATTGTTGAGTTATATGAAAAGGCTTTTTGAAATATTACTTAATCTGTCATTACACTTTTTTTTCAGAACCTTTACCGCCAACAACGAATCCTTGTTTGCCATCGCCTTGCGGGTCTAACGCTGATTGTCGGGTTCAAGAAGATCATCCGATATGCACATGCATCAGTGGTATGTTCGGAGCACCGCCGAATTGTAGACCAGAGTGTGTGATTGATCAGGACTGCATTAGCTCTTTAGCTTGTATTCAAAAGAAATGTTTAGATCCGTGCGTTGGATCGTGCGGATTTAACACGAATTGTACGGTGTTGAATCATCGACCTATTTGTCATTGTTATGAAGGCTATGAAGGAGATCCTTTCTCAGGTTGCGCCAAAGGTAAGATTTTAACAATTTTAGCGATCTTAAATTGATATATTATTGCATATTCCGGATAAAAACACATTTTTGCTCTGTAGCTGTTTTTCCAGTGCAATTACCGTGCGATCCTTCGCCGTGCGGTACGAATGCTGTATGTAAAGAACGTAACGGCGCAGGATCTTGCACTTGTTTACCTGATTATACTGGTGATCCCTACGAGGGTTGCAGACCGGAATGTGTTCAGAATTCAGATTGCGCTCATACAAAGGCTTGTATTAACAACAAGTGTAAGGATCCATGTGTGGGAGCGTGCGGAATTAACGCGCAATGCCAAGTTTATAATCATCAACCATCTTGTAGTTGTCTCTCTGGTTACACCGGAGACCCTCTTACGTCTTGCCACATACCAATAAGTACGTCAGTAAAATTTTTCCTAGGTTTTGATATACAGCAATAAATAAGAAGGAGTTTAAATAGTATATAACATTATCTATTTTGTTTAGAACCTTCAGTGCCGGGCGATACGTGCCAACCATCTCCCTGTGGACCGTATAGCAACTGCCGCGTTATTGATAATCACGCAGTATGCTCCTGTCAACCTAATTACATCGGTAGTCCACCATCATGTCGGCCAGAATGCGTAGTCAGTACGGACTGTAGCCCAAACACAGCGTGTATCAATCAAAGATGTAAAGATCCATGTCTAGGCACATGCGGTGTGAATGCAGACTGCCGAGTAATCAATCATAATCCAGTCTGCATTTGCGCGATTGGTTATAGCGGAGATCCGTTCTTTGGTTGCGTTAAGGAAGGCAAGTTTCCAAATTCTTTTTTATGTCATTGTCTTGAAATTTTTATCTCTAATATACTAGAAATTTGATTAATTTTTATACATTTTTAATATTTTCTCATTATTTGAATTACTTGAATTACTTGGATTATAAATTAATATAAGAATTTAATACACGCAAAAATCTACGAAATCTAAGTCATTTTAATGTATTAATGCACAATTTATAACAGAAGTAACACCTTTACCGAAACCAAGTGGCAATCCTTGCGTCCCTTCGCCGTGTGGACCGAATTCCCAGTGTCGGGTGATTGACGGCTTTCCGGCATGTTCGTGTTTACCGAATTACGTTGGTCGTGCACCAAATTGCCGTCCCGAGTGTGTCATAAATGAAGGATGTCCCGGAAATTTGGCGTGCCAGAACGAACAGTGCGTGGACCCCTGTCCAGGATCTTGCGGCGTAAACACGTATTGCAATGTCGTAAAACACAATCCCGTTTGTATCTGTAACGAGGGTTACACGGGTGATCCGTTTACGGAATGTATACCAATCGTAGAAGGTATGTGTTTGTTTATAAAGACTTGGTTTGTTAATAAGACTTGGCAAGTGTTAAACTGATGTATGTAGTTATTTTTATTTACTATTTATTTCCTAATAGTTATCATATAATTATATATAATTAATTGATTCCAGCACCTATTACGACAGAGCAACCACGTACGCCGTGTAATCCATCGCCATGCGGTGCCAACGCAGTGTGCAACGAGCGAAACGGAGTCGGATCTTGCACATGTCTACCGCAATACTTTGGCGATCCATACATTGCTTGCAGACCAGAATGCGTGACTAATGCTGACTGCGACCGCAGTAAGGCCTGTCTGAACAACAAATGTGTCAATCCATGTCCTGGTACTTGCGGCCAAGATGCTACTTGCCGCGTGGTCAATCATGCTCCGATGTGTTCTTGCCTGCCGGGTTATACCGGTGATCCGGTAAACGGCTGTACCATCATCATCGTAACGCCGTTGCCCGTGCCAATTAATCCTTGTGATCCATCGCCATGTGGACCCAACAGCAACTGTCGAACGCACGACGGTCACGCAGTGTGCCTCTGCCAACCAGGATTCTCCGGAGTTCCGCCCACCTGCCGACCGGGTTGTATTGTTAGTTCTGAATGTCCACAGAACAGAGCGTGCATTAATAACAAGTGTGCGGATCCGTGTCCAGGTTCTTGCGGACAGAACACGAATTGCCTTACGGTCAATCACAATCCTATCTGTAGCTGCGCCAGCGGTTACTCTGGCGATCCTTTCGTTCATTGCACCAGGATCAGCACTACGTCACCGTCGCCGAAGGGGGAAGGAGACCCTTGTCTACCGAATCCATGCGGCCCGAACTCTCAGTGCAGAGTGATAGGCTCTCATCCAGCATGTTCTTGCTTGCAAAACTACATCGGCCGTCCACCGAATTGTAGACCTGAGTGCACCGACAATTCGGAATGCTTTAATACCGCAGCGTGCATTAATCAAAGATGCAAGAATCCCTGCCCTGGCGCTTGCGGCGAGATTGCCAAATGCACAGTGCAAAATCACGTTCCAATTTGTACCTGCCCGGAAGGATATGAGGGCGATCCTACTGTGCGCTGCGTCCTAGCATCTCCACCAGGTGAATAGAAATTCTGATATTTATATACAATTAAGTTGTTGAAGAAGAGAGTTATTTAAGAAGATATAGTAATTATATCTAAATATTACAAGTTTTTATTTTATATATTTATAGCGACAGATAGGACCGTGTCGAATCCGTGCTCGCCGAATCCTTGCGGTCCCAACGCGCAATGTCGTGAAAGAAACGGAGCAGGTGCCTGCGGATGTCCACCAGATCTAATAGGCGATCCGTATGATATCATCAAGGGATGTCACAGGGAATGCGAAACAAACAATGACTGCGCACCACAGTTGGCGTGTGTTGGTTTCAAATGCACAGATCCGTGTCCCAATACTTGTGGAACGTTATCTATTTGTAACGTACAAGCACACGTTCCTGTCTGCCTGTGTCCACCAGGATATACTGGAGATCCATATTTCGCTTGCGAAATTGAGGAGATGATAAGTAAGTATTTTTAGTAATGGAATTATAAATTTGGAAATGAAATATAAGTATTAATTACAGTTATTAATTAACTAAGTTAAAATAATGCTAATAATTAATAATTAATAATGCTAATAATTAATCGTGCAAATAAATCGCGATAATTATAATTATTGAAAGGCTGCACTTTAAATAATCGTTTTTTAAGAATTATTTTTGTATAAAAAATTAAAAATTCATGAAAAATGCAATGTTATTTTCCTTAGAAACATTAGAACCATGTTCGCCATCACCTTGTGGACCCAATAGTAAATGCCGAGTTGTCAACGATCAAGCTGTATGCACCTGTTTACCAGAGTACAGGGGTATTCCACCGTCGTGCAGACCAGAATGTATCGTTAATGCTGAGTGTCCCCTGCATCTAGCATGTATAAATAAAAAATGTGTAGATCCTTGCCCAAATATCTGTGGATTGAAGGCACAATGTATTACTAAAAACCACAATCCAATTTGCACCTGCCCTGCCGGTTTTACAGGAGATCCTTTCACTTTCTGCTCACCACATGGTAAGGATTTTACATTATTATATATTAACATTAATATAAATATTCTAAAAAAATAAGCTGAGATAAAATTGTATTGCTTTTTACATTTACGTTGAATTACATTTACATGAATTTTTAATATCGCATTTTTTCAAATTATATTTTACATATTTATTAATTTTATATATTTATTAATTTGCAAAAAGAAATGTTATTGATATATTTACGTAAATTTCTGTTAGATATAAAGATATATGCTAATCATTTTTCAGTTACTACCGAAATCCCAATAACTGAACGGCCACCATCTTGCACTCCATCGCCTTGCGGTCCAAATTCCTTGTGTCAAATAATATCTGGTAATCCTGCTTGCTCTTGCTCGCCAAATTACATTGGCGTACCACCGCAGTGCCGACCGGAATGCATCTTAAGCACCGAATGTAAGAGCCACCTCGCATGTGTCAATCAGAGATGTACGGATCCCTGCCCAGGCTCATGTGGAATAAACGCTCAATGTCACATATTAAATCATCTACCAGTTTGCACGTGTATGGAAGGTTTCACCGGAGATCCATTTACGCAATGTAGCATTATTCCACCAGGTAAAAACATAGAGCAACGCATTATATATATATGAATAAATACTTCGCTATTTCGTAAAAAATTAATTGCGAAACGAAAATCAGATCAATTTGGTTTAATAATTTATTTTTAAAATAAACATTTTTATCTGTGTAGTTACAGAATCACCATCCACGGACCCTTGTGCCCTATCCCCGTGTGGTCCGAACGCCATATGCGATAATGGTGATTGCAAATGTTTACCCGAGTACATCGGTAATCCTTATGAAGCCTGTCGTCCCGAATGTATTCTTAATTCGGAATGTGCCCGCGATAAAACTTGTCTGAAGAACAAATGTAAGGATCCTTGTCCTGGAATATGCGGCCAAAACGCGCAATGCGACATAGTCAATCACATTCCTGTTTGCTCTTGTCCATCTGGGTATATTGGCGATCCATTCGTTAGCTGCCGTGTTCAACCTAGAGGTATGCAAAGAAAACTATTGTTTTTTTTTTTATTTTCTTCCATTTCATTGCTATTTTATAACTATATATAGCGCCAATTTTTTACCAAATTTTTAAAGTCAGCTTGTGTTAATTATAAAATTAATTTTTCTGCAGTGCCAGATTCTCGAAAGGATCCGTGCACGCCTTCACCCTGCGGACCGAATAGTCAGTGTCGTAATGTCGAAGATCACGCTGTGTGCTCCTGTCTTCAAGGCTACCTTGGTTCTCCACCATCCTGCAGACCAGAGTGTCTCGTTAGTTCTGAATGTCCGCCAACACGAGCCTGCGTAAACAAAAAATGTACAGATCCATGTCTGGGTTCCTGTGGCCTGAATGCGAGATGCGAAGTGATCAATCACTCGCCAATATGCAGTTGTTTACCCGGACAAACTGGAGATCCATTCAGAAGTTGTTACGATATTCCACGTAAGAAAAATTAAATTATTTATTTGCAAATAAAACGATATTAATAATTTTATATCAATAGAATTAAATATAATTTTAATAATAATGTTCAAGAATTGCATAGTACAGATCGATTTTATCAATTTTGAAAATTATAATAAATGCAGGAGATGTTTGCAGCAGCTTTGAACAAATTAAATTGGCCAAATAAATACAAAATATTGTATCAATATTTCAGTACCACCGGAACCTAAAGACCGAGGCGATCCTTGTAATCCTTCGCCATGCGGACCAAACGCACTTTGTCAGAACGCAAATGGACAACCGTCATGTTCGTGTCTGCCCACTTACATTGGCACTCCGCCATCATGTCGACCAGAATGTTTGATCAATCCTGATTGTCCGCCGGAAAAATCCTGCATAAACATGAAATGTAAAGATCCCTGTCCGGGATCCTGCGGGGACAACGCTGAGTGCAAAGTAGTGAATCACGCAGTAACTTGTTCATGTAAACTCGGCTACACGGGTAATCCATTCGTGCAATGCGTGTTAGAAGGTACGTTTATTTATGACTCATTTTGACTGATTTTTTACCCATATTTTAGTAAAAGCGAGATTTAATTTTTCTTAAATTAAATTGTTTATTTTTTTTTGCTGGGATTATTTTTACACTTCTGCTGTCTATATCTTATTAGAACATTACATTTGTTAGCTAATCAATTTTGAGCCAATTAAATATTAGAAAATTTTTTTCTGCAGAGGAACCGATGAATCCTTGTGAACCTTCACCGTGCGGAGCTAACGCGATCTGTCAGCAACGAGACAATGCTGGCGCTTGCATATGTATCGATGATTATCAAGGAAATCCTTACGAGGGATGTCAACCAGAGTGCGTCCTTAGTGCGGATTGCTCTACGAATAAGGCTTGCGTTCGCAACAAATGCAAGGATCCTTGCCCAGGTGTGTGCGGTGTTCGAGCACAGTGTTCAGTGATCAATCACATTCCTACGTGTACTTGTGAGCCTGGATACATTGGAGATCCATTTACGACTTGCACCCTACAACCGGAGGTGGATACCGAGCCTACTGTAAGAGATCCATGCTCTCCTTCACCCTGTGGACCGAACAGCTTGTGCCGCGCTGTAAACAATCAAGCCGTGTGCACATGCCAAGAGTCTTTCGTTGGTGTGCCACCAAATTGCAAGCCGGAATGTGTCGTCAATTCAGAATGTCCGCAAAATAGAGCATGTTATAAATACAAATGTACTGATCCGTGCCCTGGCACATGTGGAATTGAAGCCAATTGTCGTGTTATCAATCACAATCCACTCTGCAGTTGTCCGCAAGGAAAAACGGGCGATCCCTTCTCTAGATGTTTCCCTGAACCTGGTAATTATCCAGATATATTTAATTAACTGTTTAACGTGTTCTATTTATTTATTTACGTATGTAAGGATAGTATTAAAAAGTTACATATTAATTTATATTATTACTATATTTATCTATATCTGTATATATTTAATCATTTAGTCGTGCCGCTACCACCGGTGGATCCTTGTTTCCCTAGCCCATGTGGACTCTACGCGGAGTGCAAAGTAGTCAATAATCAAGCCGCATGCACTTGTTTGAAAAATTACATAGGAATACCGCCCAATTGCCGTGCAGAGTGCGTAGTTAATACAGATTGTCCGTCGGATCAAGCTTGCATCTCTGAAAAATGTCGCGATCCCTGCATTGGTTCCTGCGGTCAAAATGCTGATTGTCGAGTACAGAACCACATACCAGTTTGCTTGTGTCAACCTGGATATTCCGGTGATCCTTTCACATTGTGTACAGTAATTAGAGGTGCGTCTTATTTGAATTTCTACAAATAATTTTGTATATTTGATTGAAAAAACAGATAAATTTTTGTTTAAATTGATTTTTTATAAATAAAACTTTGTAAGTATAAATAAATAATATAGGGTGTGGTCGAGTTGTTACTACGAATGCTTCGAAAATAATATAAAGTAATAAAAGTTTTCTTTTTTCTTAAAATTTGACATTATTTTCTTTATTAATTTATGTAAATGTGAAAAATTAATGTTGCAGAACAACCAAAGATTCCCGAAGATTTATGCAGTCCGTCACCTTGCGGACCCAACGCAGAATGTAACGAAGGTGTATGCAGGTGCTTGCCTAATTACTTTGGAGATCCATACTCATATTGTCGGCCAGAATGTACAATGAATTCAGATTGTCCTCGTGTCAAAACTTGCATCAATCAAAACTGCGTAGATCCTTGTCCAGACACATGCGGTCGTGATGCACGTTGCGACGTTGTTAATCACGTCCCAATGTGCAGTTGTCCGCCTGGTTACACTGGAAATCCATTTCTTCTATGCCGACCACATATACCAGATGGTAAGTTTATAATTATATTTTATAATAAGAATATACATGTATAAATGTACATATATATAAATGTTAAAATAAAAGTACAAATAATAATAAAATAAAAATAAA